TACAATCAATAAGTTTTCAATTGAACAGGATACATTTAAAATATATATTTATCCCATGTTATATTTTATATTAACTACTTCATTATTAGCTTATTCAACATTTGTCACTTATATTATTTATTTTGCTAGTATAGAATTAGGTGTTGTACATTTTCTAGTATTATCAGTTGCAATTACTTATTTCATAAATATACTGCACACCCTTTATGACAACTATCGCATCAGAATTCAAATTATAAATAAATTAAAAACCTGGAAATCTGTAATTAATAAAAATTTATATAAAGGAATATAATATACCTTAATTGTTTCAACTCATACTATTTGTTACATTTATATCACTATGTATACAATTAATTTATTGTGAATTCTTAAATATGAGGGTAAAAATATAAATCAGTATTTAGAATAATGAAATTTATTATATAATTTAAAAATTAAAAATCTGGAAATTTATCATATTAAAATAATTATTTTTAAAATTAATTTCTCCATCATGAGTACAAAATTACATAAATAATAATATTAATGGTCTTTTTTGTTAAACATAAAACTGTTATGTGCCATGCAAATAATACTGTAGCCATGTATGTATAAAATATAAAATTGTATTTAAATTAAACGATTAGATTATTATTGTAAATAATGTGTTAAATTCTGAGTTGTATTAAATTACTTATATTTATTGTTATAACATTAATAATAATAATAATTATACTATTATGAAATAAATTGTATTGTAAATTTTACTGTTGACAAATATTAATTTATATAAAAAACATTCCAAATATTTGCTAATCGAAATATACTGTAAGTTTTAAATTGTTATATTTTATATTAATAATGTCATTATCAACTTATTCAATATTTATAACTTTTACTATTTATTTTGCTGATATAGAATCAGGAGTTGTGAATATTCTAGTATTATCAATCACAATTACTTATTTCATATATATATTGCACACCCTGTATAACAGTTATCGTGTTAAAAATCAAATTATAAGTAAAAATAATTGTGTTTAAAATAAAGTTAGGTAAATTGGCAATTTATAACTATATTCTTGTAGGTCTATGATATAGGGTGTAAAAATTGGAATTAGCTTACTTAATTATAATAAAAAATAATTAGTTATAAAATTATAAATATTAATTTAAGGTCGAATTTAAAAACATACCAAAAAGTATATATTTTATGATAAAAGATTTACTATAATGAATTCTGAATAAAAGTATTATTAAATCAAATTATGACTGAATGTTAAGAATGACGAAATAATAAGTATGTATTTATTCACTATTATTAGATTTAATACTAAATTTAATTAATACGAATAAACAAAATTCTCATTAATTATTTAACTACTTACAACATTTTGTACAGGATTAATTTACGAAATTCATTATTTTAATTAGATTTTATTTTATTTTTCAGTTTTACTATTGTTAGTAAAATAAATTATACTTCATATACGCAATAGTCTAATAAGTTGCAAGTTTTTGTATAAACAGGTATACGTTTGGTATAAATACGTTTACTTTATAATCATTTTTTTAATAAAAATTTTTATTTTATAATATAGCAAATATATTCAATACATTGTATATTTTATTATATGAGCAAATGAGCAACATAAATTAAAATTATTAATAATTCAACAAATTAATAAAATTTATTTAACTAATTAAGTCTATCATAAAACGATAATTTAATTACAATAAAAATAATTAATAATAAATATTAAAGGTATGTAAAACTATTTTTTGTAAAAGATTTAATATGATTAATTCTGTAAAAAAAATATATTTTTTAAAAAACAAATAGAAAGACTTGGAATTACAGTATAAAATACTGGTATTACATCCGTGTTATATATTATGCACTATCGTACAATATTATATAATAACAAAGTAAATCAACCCCGGTGAGCAGACATTCATAATTAAAAATATATTTCATGTATACCGCCTAACATTTAATGACATAAATTGTATTTATGATGTCATATAAGTATGAATTTGTTGGATTATGAATTTTATCCATTTTACTATACATGGCAACCAAAATAGATGTATATTTATTGATCAATTCGTGATATAGTATTTGTACCAGGTTCAGCCATCCTGTTACATAAAAGCATGTTATTGGACCATGGTGATAGTATTTGATGCTTGACATATATGGTGTATTAAATATAGTGTCAAATATGTCGATTGAATTCAGAGTATACACTGAGAGTATATAATATATTGAGTGAAGTATTAAGTAAATCTCAATAGATTTATTATCTTGATAAATTTTGTATTTACGGCAATATGCTTGCAATTCATCGTAGATTTCAAATATCTTTTGTGAATTAATTTTAACGAATAAATATGAAATGAACGTGGACATATATAAACACATACAAAAACATTGAAAGTAGAAGTAAACACAATGAGACATTTGTCTGAATGATAGCATTGTGTGTATTATTAGACCACAAAATGATGTTATAATAAATCCGTTGAACGTATAGTTCAGTATGTTACTTGGGCAATTAATGCCGTATATTATAAATAGATTTTTAAACATTATTACTGAATTAACATTTATAAAATTTAAGTTATAGCATATGTGTTAGTTAATATTGACGCATTTATATTTAAGATAATTATATTTCAATGATAATACATAGAACATTTGATACACAATCTTTGATAAATACTGTATAATATATTAATAGCAATTACTGTTATAAAAAGGATAGTGAACTCATTAAAAATATTTGCATGAATTGTCTAGTTTAAATATATAATTAGGGAGCTAAAATGCTTTAATGAGGGCTTAGAATGCATTAATAAGCGTGTTATGATTAATAAAAATGCCATTTGAAAGATACATTATTATTACGGTATTACAATTATCTACATAAAATGTTAATCTGTATACATGAAATATATTTTTAATTATGAATTTACCGTTAAGCACTAGTAGTATATTTCTATTAAAATATTTATTTAGAATTTACACTTGTCCAATTAATAATTATTTAATACTAATGAACGTTTTCATAATCATTAACAAATAAGTATAACATATGAAACTAACTTTACTTGGCTTATATAAGAATGTTGCATGTTAAGCAATTAGAGTTATAATATCGTAGGAAACTAGTTTATTTATAGAATTTTATAATATTACTTTTATTGTATATAATGTATTATATGAATATTGATTATAGCTTATAAATTATATATGTAATAGCAAATATGTATAACATATAGTGTTGCCAACCCTCCAGGCCAGACCTCAAACTGAAGTATGTGTTGAACTCTCGATTCCTAGAGACTTCAGGCAAAAACTGGAGGGTTGGCAACACTATATTACTCTGTTTTGAATGGCATTCCTACGGAAAAACGCTTTACACGGACCACAACTCATTGCACCAAAGTTTTTGGCTAAACAGGATAAATTAAGTTGTATTATTTGCATTATTAAAATCTTACTAACTAATTTAAAATTGTCTAAAATATATAGATAATTTGTTTTATGGAAAAAAAATCTGAAATTTATCTATAAATCTCTAAATATTGACAACACTTACCAATTGCTTTACCGTCACAAACGCCACATATTTTTGGCTCTCGTTTTTTAGGCATTTCCAATGATAATGAATTTAAACACCAGGCACAAATCAATGTAGAATTCAAATTTAATAATATTGTTGTAGTTTTATCGTAGCCCAATCGTAATACTGTATTTATATTGACTATCCGTTGTGATAACACACAAGTTTAGATAAATGCAAACAATATCCTTACACCTAAACTACACCTAAAGTCAGCTATTCATGTATGAAAGTATATGCAATTTGGGAAAAAACACTTGTATTATACAATTCACTGACACGTTATATTCTTGTGAATTCAATGAAAATAAATACTTGTTTATAAAGTATTGAAGTTTTTTTACGCAAATTAATTATCTAGAAAAGTTTTACGACACATATAGCCTATGAGAATACTGTATGTTTCAGTGCAGTCTGTACTGCGGATTCTGCGTTATGTGCGGCACTGTAATACACTGTACATAACGCACTAGCGATGCCGTTTTCAAGTGCTAAAGAACCTGGGTTATCATTGATGAAATTGGCAAAAGTGCCCCCAATATTTATCATTAGATAATAGGCACTTATCACAATGATATCTATGATTAACTGTTTATGTGGTTTTGGTGATTATTTTGTGTATGTTTAATCAGTGAATTGGTGGGGTGGGAGTGTGAATTAATTATAGTCAAGTATATATATTTATTGATTATTTTATGAATCTACTATATAAATTAAAAATTCTATTTTTATATTTTTAGTTTGAATGCACTTATTTAAACAATTGGCTAATTACGTAGTATTAATGTTTAACATGGCAAAATAATTAAAATTAATATTTTTATAATTATATTCACCCTAATTAATAACCATTAAGAGTGTATATTTTGATTATTTATTAATTAACACTAAATCAGAGTGCACATCTAAGTACAGTTACAAATAAACTTAATGTATAATTAATATCTATTCACAATATGAGTTTCTGGGAATAATAGTATTTAAACACATTTATTTACTATCGTAATACTGTATTATAATAAATTAAAAATACAACTTAATACCATGAATAGTAGTATTAATTAGATTTTATTTACATCAAACATTAATTTATTTTTATTTGTGAAACCTTAATTATTTTGAACATTATGTACAGTAATCAAATATAGCATATATTGCACTCAAATTATATAAAAAATTTAATCAATATTGATTGCACGTTTTGATTATACTAATTAAATAAAACAATTAACAATTACTTAATTTAATGCATTTGTGTTGATATTAAACACTTCTCTCAATAGTGGGCCCATATATTGAGCTATAGTTTCAAAACAGTTTTTCCTTTGAATTTCACCCAAAATTTCCAACTCTTTAAATGTATTTAAAAGTCTCTTTAGTCTTGAATTGGCTTCACTTTCTGACCGATAATTTTGTAGTAAATATCGCTTTAATAAATAAATGTAAATTTGCTGCTCGAGTCTATAAATATACAATTAATAATTAATTTAGGCATTTATTTAAAATATTATGTTATTAAACTAACTTAATAATATTTTTATTGATAAGGTTTGATCTGTTTGGATTGAACAGGGCAATTGCTGTTAACTAAATAGGAAGTAAGAATATTTATAGTTAAACTGTCAATGCTTCAGTAATATATGATAGTATTCATTTTACCAAGTCAATAATTGGTGAATTTGCCTGAACCTCAGGTCCCAGAGCGTATAAATAGTTTTTATAAAGTTCATAAAAGTTGCGTTTATTTGCTTTTAATAAATCAAGTTTTACCAGAATTGAGTGATTATTTTCCTAATAGACAATACAAATTACATTTATATTATATGTTATGAGGATTAATTAGCATATTTCTATGAATTACCATGAATAATTTCATGTATTGAGTCTGAAAATTAAAAGTGAGCACTGATCTTAACAGGAATATATCAAGGTACCCATACTTAACCAGCTCAATCTTATCATCGTCGCAGAGCTGGTCATAGGCTTTCAATCTCTTGGACAGTCTGATAGCGGTTTTCACTTCTCCCTCGTATTTCATACAAATAGCACGACTCATATCACTGGGTGTCGTGATCTCGACATTAGATTCAATGAATTCATACTTATATTCATTGATAGCATTGAATAACTCCATTAGTCTATAGCTTTCCAATTCATTCCATGTATTCCTATTGTTATTGATTTGTATGGGAATGGGAGTCACTCTCGCCACAGAATTTATGTTATTATCATTTATTACTTTATTATTATTACTTGATGTTTCAGTAACTTTATTGTCATTGTTATTATGAGGTGTTGCTGTAATCGCCACCAAATTGTTTATCATTTTTGCCTTATTTTGCCTAATTTTTCGGTTTTCATCGGCAACTAATTTCTTGAATTCTTGCTGATTATCATTCATTATATTCCCCTATAGAATAATTACATGCAAAATGTATAGTAAATACTAGCAAAATATAGTAATATCAAATATTTCAAATGCTAACCCTTTTCATGCCAATTGTGTAACACTTTCTTAATCTGCATTTTGAACAGAATCTCCGTGTTATGGGAGTAAGCTTACAATTTTCACCTAGTAAACATTTGACTTCCTAATAATAAGTTCACGGTTAGTCACATATTATCTATTTGCATGATTATAGTTAATACTTTATTTGTTGCGGTTATCCGTCTGAAGAAAGTCTTGCACGATGAGCAGGTAATGGCCCCAAAGTTTTTACCTTGATATATAGGGTTATAAAAGAATTTCACAATAATATTAGATTTAAATAAGTTTATACTCTACCTATTGCACTATCTCCACAAATATCACAATATAGTTTATTTATATTTTTATTGATCACTAAGCCATCCATGTTTATAATCAGAGTTTTAATATATTTATTTGAGAAAGGTATGTTATAATTATTTTATTTCCCACTTTTCACATTTATATTTAACATGCATTATATTTAGCAAACAAAATGTAATTAAACACAATTTCACTTTTAAATCATAGTGTTTCAATAAATGCTAAAACAGTCTAAATTCCCAAATTTATTATATGTAACTTATTTTCTTATCTATGTGCTTAACAACCTTATCTTATTTTATAAATAATTTCTAAATTGTAAGGTCAATTAAAAAATTACTTTTGCAAACTTATTACTGTAGTACAGTATAATACATACAGTTCTAGTTATAATTTTCAAATGAGCTAAAAATGTTGGCTCATAAACGTTTTGATATTAAAAAGTAAGTAAGAGATATACTGTTCACATATTATTTTAACATAAGATACTGTATGTCTGTATAAATCCAAATATTTATAAATATTATAAATTATAAAAATACAAATTACAAACATTTAAACCTCAATTTCATTTTTCACTACGGACCTCTTATGAAAATTAAAAAATTATTTGTTTGATTATAAAATAAAGTATATGAAAATATTGCGCAAAATACTATTTTAATAAAATATGATTTCTTGATTATTATATTCTGGTGCATAATTTCAAAACTCAGATATTGTTTAATATTGTTTTAAGATATTAAAATTTCAATACCCATGTTACAATATAATAAATTTTATACAATTCACAGTTATGTTTATAGATTAAACAAAATTTTTATAACTTGGTGAATGATGCATATTATGGAAAGTAAATAATTAATTAATTAAACCCATCATGATACTCTTTCATATAGTGATCTACAATAGTGTGAGTTTTAATGGTGACAAGTCCTTGGTATGTCTCCTGGCTCACTTTGATCAAGTAGTTTAAGTTCATCAGTTGGTTCATAAATTTAGCAAATATTGCCTCCGATTCTGAGCCATATTTTATCAGTAAATAGCGTTGAAGTAAATACATGTAAATATATTGCTGGAATCTATATAATAGATATGAATTTGTATTATTAAACGTTAGCTACTATTTGATTCTGTGGTTTACCTAATAATTTCTTTATGAAACAATCTGGGTCGATTTGGATTAAAAAATACGATCGCCGTTAGCTATAAATAGGTTTAACGAGATATAATTTATAAATTATAAGTAAATTTTAAATAACTACAAATTTATACCAAATCTAAAATAACAGAATCGCGATCCCATTGACACACAAACGAGTTTATGAACGTCTCAACCCCCGTATAATAATCACTTGTAGGGAGCTGTCGCAAACAGTTTAGTCTAAGTATAGCTGAACTGTCACTATTCTGTAAATATTCATATAAATCCGTTTTAGTAATAATTATACCAAGGTAAGTTGCATGCAACTATTTACAAGTGCAAATGTCCAACACTGGGATTCATAATTAAAGTGTGAAATGGATCGCAATAGTCTGAGTTCAGATGATCCATACTTGACGAGTGCCTGTTTGTCCTCATTATACAGATTATCGCATGAATTCAGATTCTGTGCGAAACTAATGATGGAAGTGATTGATCGTTGCAACAGATTTGTGTTGAAGTGATACAACAGCTCCTGTATGTCAGTTATCTCTGACCTAATCGGCGATAATCTCGTGAAGAAGACGTTGGCGGCGCTAAACAACTCCAACAGTCGATTGGTCTCCAATTCATTGAATTCCTTGAAATGTATTATTGGCTTAAGTATGAGATTCACTGTCACAGCGTCTGTATGTACGGTATTTATGTCCACGTCTTGTGAACTGTTCTCAGAGTTTGACAAATAGTTTTCAATTTCTATGATCTCGGCGTTCAGGTCATCGTTACAGATATTTGCGTGAAAACCCTCTGAGAAAAAGTCGCTTTCATTTGGTATAGGAATAGACATCTCATTATAGCTATCAATAGATTCATTCATTTGTTGCTTCGTTTCAATTATAACTTTATTTTTCTGACTCTCGTCTACACATCGTATGAATTCCTATTAAAAATAAATAAAATACAATTCATAACAATAGTTACTATTTTAATTTTAACTTACCTTTCTCATACCAGAGGCATAGCACCTGTCGAGTCGACATTTTCTGCATTTCTTGCCCTTTGGCTCAATTTTGCAATTTTTATTTCTATGACATTTTTGGACCTATTATAGCAAATGGTAAGATATTTATTTATTAGACAATTAATGAGTATTTATTTACTTTATCCGTGAGTGCAGTCCTCCTAAAAAATGCTTTACACGAGTCGCAAGAAAGTCCTCCAAAATTTCTACCTTTAATAGCATTTAATTATAAATTATTACATAAATTTTAAAATTCATATGAATTTTTGGTATACTAGTATACTGTACCTGAAGCTATATCACCGCAAATTAGACAAATTTTACCACTATTTTTAGTACTCATCGCTCATATGTTAGACAATATGT